AATTATATACTATATATATTATATATATTATATATATTATATATATTATATATTATATTATATATATTAAATATATTACATATTATATATTATATTATATATTATATATTATATATATTATATATTCATAAACATATATAATGATATATGCAATCAACAACCCATAGTAATCCTCTTCACACAACTGTAGCAGCAGCAGCAGCAGCAGCAGCAGAAGCAGCAGAAGCAGCAGCAGCACACAGCAGAAACGGAAAGGAGACAGAAAGAGACAGACTGCAGCAGCAGCAGCAGCAAATTAAGAGCAGCAAATAGTAAAGAGTTAGAAGATGAAGCAAACGAACAACTTGCATAAACAAACAAACAGCAGCAGACAGACTGAGACACACACACACACGGAGACACCAGCATACCCCTGCTGCTGCTGCTGCTGCTGCTGCAGCAGCAGCAGCAGCAGCAAAACCGTGTAGCAGCAGATGCTGCTGCTGCTACTCGTCCCTTTAACTCCTCACCTTTCCCATTGTAAGCGGCGGGGAGATAACACTGCACGTGCTGCTGCTGTTGCTGCAGTTGCTGCTGTTGTTGTTGCTGCAGTTGCTGCTGTTGCTGTTGCTGCTGCTGCTGCTGTTGCTGTTTGCATTCAACGAATAGCAGATAAGCAGCAAATGGAGCCCAAGCCAAAGCGACTGAGCTGAGGCAGCGGCTAGCCGCTTGCTGCTGCTGCTGCTGCTGTTGCTGCTGCTGCTGTTGTTGCTACACCAACTGCTGAATCAGCAGCAATCGAAGAGAGACTAGACAGCAGCAAAAACGCCCGGGAGAACGGCTGACTGCGCGCGGCGGGCCCTTGCTGCTGCTGCTGCTGCTGAGGCTGCTGCTGTTGTTGCTGCTGCTGCTGCTGCTGGGAGGCAGGCAGCAAGTGATATGTTTGCTGCAGCAAAACAAAGTTGTGTGTGTATTGTGGATTGGCTAATTTGTCTATCTTTGCAGCAGTCGCTGCTGCTGCTGCTGCTGCTGCTGCCGCTGCTGCTGCAGTGGGGTGTTGGTTGTTGCTTAGGGGCCCCCTCAATGAAGGCAGCAGCAACAAAAGCTGCTGCAGAAGCAAAAAGCAGCAGAGAAGAAGCACTGAAGCATCTGGAAACCTATATCTTATTTTGCTGCTGCTGTCACTCCCGCTGCTGCTACTGCTGCTGCTGTTGTTGCTGCTGCTGCTGCTGGCGTACCTGGCTGCTGCTGCGGAGGCAGTGCTGCAATGGCAGCTTCGTGCAGCAGCAGCAGCAGCAGCAGCAGCAACAGCAGAAAAGCTTATTTAAAAAGGATAAATATTATTAATAGACAATAATATACAAAACAGTTATATTAATAAGCTGCTGCAGCAAACAGCAATTTGCTGGTGGCTTCTACACACCCGCTGCTGCTGCTGCTGCTGCTGCTGCTGCTGCTGCTGCTGCCCAGCAGGAAGTCCCTGCTGCTGCAGCAGCTGCTGCCGTTGCTGTTGCTGCTGCCGCTGCTGCATGCCAGCTAAAGCGATAAAAAAATAACTTAAGGTAGGGCATTAACTGTCATTCTTCTTTGCAGTTGAGCCGCTGCAGTTGCTGCTGCTGCAGTTGCTGCTGCTGCTGCTGCTGCTGCATTTGCCCCGGGGCTTCGACAGCTCGCTGCAGCTGGCGGGAACGGCAGCGGCTTGCTGCTGCTACAGCAGCAACAGCAGCAGCAACAGC